TCTCTGGAACACAGAAGTCAAAGCCAAATATTTTTCCAGAGCACAAATTACTCAGTTTAGGGTAAGAAATAGAAAAGAGCAGGAAACAAGCTTCAAAAGAATAGTGTGGGTGGGCATTTGTTCTTCTCAGTCCTGATTCTTTCAAAGTCTTTCCAGAACTAAGTCAACCCTGCTCAAGGATGTATAACTTTACTTGTGGGTTCAGATTTTTGTACATAATCTGATGACTTATTTCAATTGTGAAAATTAGAATATACAATGATTTCCAAAAATAATAATTTATACCAATATGACCATCCTAAAGAATTATTTGAGTATTTTTTACCCAATTATGTCTCTAGGTTTTTCCCTTTTGGCACCAAAAGACGCCACTGCTATACCCCCTGGAAAATGTCATCTAGTTTTGGTTGTTTTTTTTTCTACTATGAGTTAAAGAAAATGTCTAGACACATTAAGAACCTTCAGTTCAAAAAATTTTTTGGTTGTAGTCAGTAAAATAAACATCATGGACACAATGGAACAGAATATTTGAAAGCAGGTATGTTCTAGAAAAATGAGAGACATATACACTTTTAGAATATTTGATTGGTTACCTTTATCTGAAGACATGACTGATGTGTAAAGCAGCTGCCTAACTGCTAATCTTTGCTTCTCCTTCAGTAAGTTTTAGAAAAGTTCCCATGTCTTAAGCATGCTAGTCGATAAAAACAAAGGTGATTTCAGTTGTTTCCTTATTTGTGCCTTGAGACCTTCCCCACTTAAGGCTGCAATTATACAGAAAGAAGCCTGTTATTTTCTTATAGTTTTACACTTAGAAACTCTACTGTCACCTTACATTATATGCTACCATTTACCACAAACAGCTACATTGCATAACAATGATAATCACTGTAATCATATATCAACACAATGAGATAATGAGATGATAACAAGACTCCAGTACCTTTCCTGTGTGCTAAACAATTAATTTCAGCCACAGACATGTTCAGCCAACCTGTTCCACCCACTGTATGGTGTCAGAAGTTTAGGTTCCATCACAAAGACAAGGGGAGTATAGGGGGTTCCAGCAGGCTGTGGGATGCACTGGTCCCCATATCTGTGAACTTCCAAAAATTATTCCTGAAACTTACATGTCTCCTCTGGATTATTCTCTGGCAAAACTCTTGGTGGGGTTTTTATGTGTCCGGACATATCTAATAAATTCACTCCAAGATAGCATTTGGGATATCATAAGAAGTCTTATGAACAAACACAGACAAATACACCATAATCAACAGTACCTGAAGATTTGGAGATTAACTTGTCTAGACCCATAAGATTTTCACATCAATTTCCCCTGAAGTATCAGACCCATCTCTATAGAAGTTATTTGTCTGAACCAAGGCAGAGATTAAGTCTAGCATGCTGGAACATTTTTAACCTAAATGAAGTTAAGATGTGATTATGTGCAATAGCCACATCATTAAAAGGACTCAGTCCCTATAATATTTTTTGACTATTTGTGCTAACAGAAACTCTATTTTTTTTCTGTGAGTTTCTCCCTTAATTCTTCAAGATGAATTTTTATGACCTTTGTGATTGTTTTTATCCAAGTGTTTCATCTGAAGGTTTCTATTTAGAAATTCTGAGACAGAGGGACAAGTAGTCCTGGTTACAATGCATTTAGCAGTGCAGGATTATTAATATGAGTTTGAAGACAAATATTACGATTATTCCATTACCAGGTTTTTTTTTCCTAACTGTGGGATGTATTGGACTTTTGCTTGATTTTTTTTAAAAGATATGTATTTTTTATTGATTTCAGAGAAGAAAGGAGGGGGAGAGAGAGAAATATCAATGATGAGCTCTGGTCTACACCGTCCCTACTGGGGATCGAGCCCGCAACCCAGTTTATGTGCCTTGACTGGGAATCGAACCGTGACCTCCTGGTTCATAGGTTAAGGCTCAACCCGTGAGCCACACCAGCTAAGTCTCAAGCTAGGAATGAAGAAGACTACCCCTCCCATCCCAAGTGTGTAATAGTAAGCCCAAGTGCAAATTACTTTTGAAAACTTTCCTGTTGTATTCATGGATTTTATCCCCCCCCCCCTTTTTTCTTAGTTTCAGCCAAACCGAGACCCAATAGTGACGAGTATTCCAAGAAGATTCCTCCTCCAAAACCGAAACGGAATCCGAACACCCAGCTCAGCACGTCTTTTGATGAAACGTACATGAAAAAGCACGCGCCCCGGAGGACCTCGCTCACGCGGGACGCCTCCCTCTCCCAGATGAGCAGCCCCGCGGGGGACCCCGAGGACGAGGAGCCCGTGTACATCGAGATGGTGGGGAACATCCTCCGAGACTTCAGGAAAGAGGATGACGACCAGAGCGAGGCTGTCTACGAGGAAATGAAATACCCCATTTTTGACGACTTGGGCCCGGACTCCAGATGTGACCTTGACCATCACAGTTGCTCTTCGCAGTGTGCTACTCCCACCGTGCCTGACTTGGACTTCGCCAAGTCCTCAGTGCCATGCACTCCAAAGGGTTTGCTTTGTGACATCCCCCCGCCCTTCCCCAACCTGCTTTCCCATAGACCCCCCCTGCTGGTGTTCCCACCTGCCCCGGTGCAGTGCTCCCCCAATTCTGACGAGTCTCCGCTCACCCCGCTGGAGGTCACCAAGCTCCCGGTGCTGGAAAACGTGTCTTACATGAAACAGGCCGGAGCGTCTCCATCCTCGCTGCCCCCCCACGCCTCCAGCCACCCTAAACTGGACAAGGACCAGAGCGGGGCCCTGGGACCTGCCGCCGCCGCCGCGCTCTCCTCGTCCCCACCCCCGCCGTCCGCTTTGTACCGAACGCAGTCCCCCCACGGCTACCCGAAAAGTCACTCGGCCTCCCCGTCCCCTGTGAGCATGGGGAGGTCCCTCACCCCCCTCAGCCTCAAAAGGCCTCCCCCCTACGACGCCCTGCATTCTGGCAGCCTCTCCAGGAGCTCTCCATCAGTGCCTCATTCCACCCCCAGGCCAGTGTCGCAGGATGGGAGCAAGATGGTCAACGCCTCCGTCAGCACCTACGGGGCGGCTCCCTGCGGCTCCCGCTCCAGGACGCCCACCAGTCCTTTGGAAGAACTAACCAGCCTCTTTACCTCGGGGCGAAGCCTGCTGAGGAAGTCGTCCAGCGGCCGCAAGTCGAAGGAACCCGCAGAGAGTAAGTTGTGCAGATCCGGTGCTAGCCTAAGGGTCAGTGTGTGGCTTAAAATTACACGAAGCTCTCATGCGCACATCACGCACAGAGGTAGTGCCTGCTCGCCAGTCCTTTCAGTTGAAATCTCAAAACGTGTTGGTGGGACAGAAAATAGTGTGCTCTAGAACCCAAAGGGAAAATCTGCACAATGTAACCTATTCATTTAAAATGAAGAATGATTTTTTTTTTTAAATGAAATGGAAAGTCTCAATTCTTACAGTGGCTCTGGAAAGTCTAAAGAAAACAGACACTGAAATGCGTAGGTAGCTATCTTGAGGTGGAGGGAGAAGTTATACATTCAAACATGGAATTGATAAATGTTAAATTTATCCTATATTAAAAGCCTGCTTGAGGTAATCTGTGTTAGCAAACATTTGCTGGAAAGATAGCAGTTCAGATGGAATTTAGTACTTTTTAAACATAATGAATGATTCTGTCTGCATACTTTATGTTGTTATAGTCTGACCTTCACTCTAAACCAGCGGTTCTCAACCTGTGGGTCGCGACCCCTTTGGGGGTCAAACGACCCTTTCACAGGGGTTGCCTAAGACCATTGGAAAAACATATATAATACATATTGTTTTAGTGATTAATCACTATGCTTTAATTATGTTCAATTTGTAACAATGAAATTGGGGGTCACCACAACATGAGGAACTATATTAAAGGGTTGCAGCATTAGAAAGGTTGAGAACCACTGCGGGTTGTTTCCCTTTTAAAGGCAGGCTAATTAGCACCTTATTTCTCTGGTTCTCTTCCTGGATCCATGCATATATAAACCAGGGAAAAATCACTAAGGGGTAAATAGGTAGGGAACATTATATTTACCACTGAATTTCAAAGACCTGGAAATGCCTGTATCTGAATGTCTAATCCTTTTGTGAACCTGAAATTACTCCATAAGTTCAGAGTAAAGTCAAAACAGACACAGTTTTCTCAATGTCCATTTCATTAAAAATGCACTGCTTTCCTGAATTTAAAAATGCCTTAGGTGACTATTTGATAATTTACCATTTATACCTCAAATGATCCCAGCACAGGATTTTGTTATTTATCTATTCATGTAGACTGAGGACCTTCCTTAAAGAAAAAGAAATCCTTCATAATGTTGATGATGAAACTCCTTAGATAATTAATATTCGTTGGTACTTATAAACCACTTATTTTGTCTATTTTTTTCTTTACCCAGAGATATTTATGAAAGTGTTAGCAGCTTAAATAATCCCCTGCCCCCTCCCCCAAAACCCATTTCATTTACCTGACTAAAGGCAACAATTCGTATTATGTTAGACATGTCTGGTATTAGATACACAATTACATGTGTACATCCAATTATTTTAAAAATTATTTTAAAAATTGAATTAAAAATTAGGAACAATCTATTTCTAGAATAGTGGTTCTCAGCTGGGGCAGTTTTGCCCCCAGGGCCATTTGGCAATGTCTGGAGAACTTTTTTGGTTGTCAGAACTGGGGATGCTACTGAAATCCTGTGGGTAGAAACCAGGTATGCTGCTTACTGGCCTACAGTGCACAGGACAAACACACACACACACACACGCATGCACACACACACACACACACACGCATGCACACACACTCACACACTCTCACACACCACGGCACATACAGTTATCTGGTCCACAAGGACAATAGTCAATAGTGTCAGGTTTGGGAAACCATGATCTATATTTATTCAAGTTTCTTATAGATGATTAACTTGGTTTAAACACAGATCAGGTAAGGTTTTTGGAATAAGGTGGAGAGAAAAAATAAAGAAAATTTTACTTTCAAATATGTAATAGTGACATTAATAGAAGTTTCATCCTAAAATTGGTGAAATTATTGAATTTTCTCCTTACCTACCAGCTTCTTTGCAAGATTCTTCATAGCTCCAGCTGGCAGCTACACCAATTAGCTAGAAAAAGTATATGTAAAAGAAGTGATTAACTAATGGAGTTATTTCAAGAAAAATCCATCTGTTAGAATCAGTCTGTGTGTTGTATGTCTCAGACTTCTCCAGTTGACTCCAAAATGAGCTTTGTATGCTTCTAAAACAAAGCTTGCACGTGGAAAAATGATCCAGGCCCTTTATAGCTTTTAGGGATTCGAGGATTGAATTTCTTCCCATGTGCTGTTAACTCTGTATGGGCTCTTCAGAGAAAGGGCATGCCCTGAGTTTTTTTAACTTCAATTTTACATAAATGGAAGGAGGGGAAATGCTGATAGCACAAATGTATAATCTAATGATATGTACTTTTGGCTTTGGAAGATAAAAGAAAGACACTGTCCGATGCTAACAAAATCATAGGGGCTCTCAGAATCCCTCTGTAATCCAAAAAGTAGATCCAAAATTGATGATAATTGAGAGTTAACCTATAATTACTGTTGCAGTATGCCCAGTGATACAACTCTCCTCTTCACCTTTGCCAGATAGGATTTGTAGACGCCTGCTAACACCATAGGGACGGAATAAATGATATGAAGCAGCATAACATTCATGACTCCTGAGTCTTAAGTGGTATTTTTTTTTTTTTTTACATTTCAGGAATAAGAGTTAGACTGGTATGTCTATTCTCTATACCTCTCTGGCTTTACTGGAAACATCAATTTTGATAATTTTCTAGTATCCAATTTAAAGCACATTTACTCCTCTTTTAATTTTTAAAAATCTATGTCAAATAAAATTTATGGCTTCAACTCTTATTTTTAATAAACTGTGAAAGACAAAGCTAATTTAATAATTTCATATCTTAAAAGCTTACAATTCTTAATGGGTAAAGGGCAAAAGGAAGAGATAAAATGAGATGATGTGGGGAGATTTTGAATCAAGTTCATTTCACTTTACAATTTTCTACATACAGCCTTCACATTAATTGTTCTCAGAAGCATTTTTCCCAAGTTGATAGGACATTGTGATGTCGTTTAACTATATAGGAGGACATTTGATAGTCTTGCTAATTATAATAATTTTGATTTGAATTGGTTATTAATATTTTTTAAATTTGTGCAGAGAGATGAAGGATATGAGGCATGTAAGAAGTGATTAACTTGCATTTTATTGCTGTGAATTTTTTTGTGTATACACAAAAAGTAGGTGAAGTATAAATATGATTTAAAGTGAATTTAGAGGCTCAAATGATAATTATCTACCTATTATTTTTTTAATCTTCACCTGATGACATGTTATCATTTATTTTAGAGAGAGAGGAAGTTAGATAGAGAGATAGAGAAACATCCATCAATTGCCTCCCATATGAGCTCTGACGGGGATTGAACCCACAACCTGGGTATGTGTCCGACTAGGAATCAAATCTGTAACCTTTTGGTTTTGGGGACAATGCTCCAAGGAACTAAGCCACACCAGCCAGGGATCTACCTGTAATTTTTATCTTTCTTTTGTATGGTTTTATTTTATATATCTTTGTATTCAAATTTTTAGAACACCTAGGTCATGAATAGAGCTAAAGAAGGTGTAAAGAAAAGAAATGACGTAGGCCCATTCATCTGGTATTGTTATGAATAAAAAGTAAAAATGGTGGGCTGGCATTTCCAAAGAGCTTCCTCATACTCAACAATAGTTCACATTAATGGAGATACAGAGTTTTCTACTGTTAAGTTTCATTTTTCAGCCTTTTAAAAATTCTCTCATTTAAGAAATATCAACTTTCCAAGAACTGATCTGTCCTGGGAAACACAGAGTGAATGCTATTTTATTTTAGGAGAACCTACATATTTTGTTTAGCTTATTTAAAATATTCTTTTAAAACAAAATCAGCAAACAAAATAATTAAGGAATTTATCTGTCCTCCTTTTCATTCCTGTGAAACTAGGGGCTGACAAAGAGTGGGTTGGGAAAAGCAGATATAGTTCTCCCTCAATATCTCAGAGGGACCTCCCTCAGATACCAAAAGGAAACTCAAGTCCCTTATATAGTAATGGTGTAGTAGTTACATATAACCTATGAACACCCTCCCTCATACTTTAAATAGTCTCCAAATAGATGGTAGGGCAAAAATACATTTACAGTTGTTTCTATGGAAAATAATATAATAATTAGTAAGTAATAACACAAGCATACACTTTATGTTTTGCTACTCACAACTGTAAACCTACTTTTGCTGGACCCTGTGCAATGTAAATGCTATGTAAATAGTTGCTATACTGTAATTTTTAGGGAATAATGACAAGAAAAAAAGGCTGTACATGTTTAGCACTGACACAGCCATTGTAGACTTAAATATGTAGTAAACATGAGCCCCATATTCTTTTGAATATGATGGGGGATCCATGGGCACAGAGGGCCAACTGTACAGAGAAACCAAAGAGAAAGGTGGAAAATAGAGCCCACAACTTGGTATTTCTCATTTGCTCTGGACAGCGGGTGAGCCCTCAGCCTGTGACTGCCCACTGAGAAGCATGTTGACTTTGGGCAGAACTTCTATGTATATGGCAACTTGGAGCTACACGGTCAGAGATGGGGGCTGGATCTTGAACCTCTGGAGTGCTGGGATACTTTACAGGCATTTGGGACTTGAGCTACACCCAGAACCCCTGAAGATACCTCAGAGGATATCATGAGGGGGAGGATTCCAGAAGGCCTGACAAGATCCAGGCCTGTAGGACCTGCTAAACATCACCTTTGTCAGGCCCTCTCCTTATGTTTGCTGGTTGCCTCCCTCAAGGCTCCTTCCAGCACTCAGAAAGAAAATGGAGCCAAAAATTCCAAAAGAAGCCCCGTGCAAAATGCTTTTGAGTATTGCCTCTTTTCTCAGACTTGTGTTCATGTGTAGTTGATTGAATCAAGCACTTACCCTTAAAAAAAACCCCAAAAAACCCCACACACAACACAAACAGTTCTGCAAAAACACCCCGGCCTATTTAAATATTAATATTTTTAAAGCTAAATAAATTCATTTCAGAATGGGGGGGTTAACTAGAGTATGTGCAAAATCACTTAATTTTGA